GCTCCGAAAGAAGAAAATTATTGGTAAAATGCAAAAATGCTTTCAAGGAAATATAAAACATATCAGTAAACTTATATTAAGTGTTATATACGTACATATGAATATAAGATAAATTTTAAAATATTAAAATAAACATTGATTGTATACAGATACTTTGTCCAATGTTTATTATATGCACTTGAAAGCAGTCAAACATATGAAGTGAACAGAATTAATTCACTCACAAATACTTTTCTTATTGGTTGTTACAACATAAACTAACTTCAAGCAAATATACAGAATTCAACACTTTGTCGCATACACTAACAAAAAAAACATATATAACATATAATTAATTTAAAATAAATACGTATTCATATGGAAAAAGTCCTGCTTTACTTTCCTAAGTCTCTTACTTGTCACAATCGATTTCTATCGATCATTTATGCCACAGAATCACTACTTGATTTCATCTCACGTTCACGAAAAAACCCGCGCTCAGTTTTACATTCTCTGATGGTAACTGTTTCCAAATTAACTGTTACATCTGTAATGACCACCTTATCGGATATGTTACATTTTGTTGGTAACCAAAAACGTGGTGGTAGAGCTTTTGGTGAGAGCGGCATTAATGGTAATTGCTGTGACTGATGATGTGGTGATAATGAAAGTTCACCAAGATTATCACCTTTTTGATTGATGTTTTGCTGTTCCGGTTGACTATCAGCTTGTGATGATGAATCATCATCATCTTGTGCATTATATTGTTGTGTTTTTTCAGATGGTGTTGCCTGTTCCGGTCGAGAAGCGGGCGTTTCAGGTGATAATGGTTCAGTTTCTGCTTTTAATGGTGTAGATATTGGCGTTGCAGAATCAACTGAGCAATGATGCTTTACAGCTGGTGGACCATCAGGTGATGTTTTTATAGTAACACCAATTTTACCTGATTCCTTGAGCACTTCTGCTTTACGTTTGGTACCTATAGCTATTTCTTTTTGATTTAAAGGTTGATCATCTGAGCTAGAAGAATTTGTATCGGCTTCAGATATAAAAGCTAAATTCGAGGAATTGCTATGCTCTTTTTGTCGTTTTGTTTCTGCATGCGTATGTGGTGATTCTGAACGACGTCCTGAGCTACGTTCGGATTTTAAGTGATGATGATGGTGATGATCTCGTTTCTTTTCCTTATCTTTTTCTTTATCATGGTGATGATGATGATGATGGTGGTGATGATGATGATGATTTGTTGCGCCTGTAGCGCTTGTAGCTGCTGCTGATGTAGTTGGTTGTATGAGTTCCGCATCATCATTGGTAAATGTGTATTCATCTTCTTCAGATTCCGGTTCTGGATCACGTTCTTTTTCCTTCTTTTTGGGACCACGTTTAGAGGGAGTATTTGATGATTTATTGCTTTGTTCGTATATTTCAATTAGGCGCCGATCGAGTATATTTACTTCAGGCTCCCAAGTATTATAACGTTGATTCCAACCCTTCCATTTGACCCTATACTCCACAACGCCCTGAAAGAAAGGTAATTATTAGTATTTCTAGACATATGAATATGTAATAAATAATAAAAATAAAAAGAAATGCGTTATAGATTGAAATTATTCAATGCATAGAATCGGATATTAAGAGATAGTAGAGTAAAAATAGATTCCGAAAATGATATTAACATTATGATATTATCAATCGTTGGAATTATTATCAGATGTCCGAAGACATCTGTTCAATTGCTTCTCTATATATAATATATAAACCTTATGAATATTATTATTATCCATTACTGCTACTCTGTGTTAAATAAATTATAGTTCGCAATTATAGAATCTGTTTCGAACTATTGAATAATTGTTTTTATACATATATAAGTATATATACTTTATTGCCAAAGGTAACGATAAGATTTTAGAACTAGACGAGTCTGTGTGTCTCGGGGACACTTGTCTTTTCAGACGATCAAGCGATGGCGTATTTCTCAATAGTTATAAAACTAGTCAGTTTCATCAAGCTATTAATATATCATATTTTTTTGGAATTGATATAACTAATATTGTGCCAAAAACTTTTAGAAAAAATTATGATTGGATTACTGCATGTTAATTCCAGGTTCTAGATGGAATGAGATCTACATCCAGAAGCTACTCACCTATAGAGACGAATAAAGATCTCTCATACTTGCTGTTTAGAGTCCAAAACTGAAAGCCACATGCCTGGGCTACAACTACAGAATCAGTTATACAATTCTGTTGTCATATTCTACTGAAATCCTAAATAAACTAAAAATTTATATACTTCAAAAGAGAGATAATAGATAAAGTACTTCTGTTTGATGGGAATAGATTTAAATATTTTGAAAGAAAAAGGCAATCCTTGAACCACTTTAGAATATTCCAGACATATCTTATTAGATATATATAATATAATCTTATAGATTATAATAAATATTTGTGATTCATTTTATCAAAAAGTTCCGTAAATGATTCAAAATATTGGGAGAATATATTGAGATATAAGAAGCGAAGAGCGCTTATAGTACACACGCATATGAGGGAGAGCAATTTAGTTTGGAATGGTGGTTTGTTTTTAAAATTCACTTAAGCTTAAGAAAGGATACGTTGTGATACTACGTACAGACGGATTCTAGACGGGCAGATGCTGATACTACAGCAGCATGATTCATACGCAGACCGGACGTAGCATTGTCACGCTAAAACCCACGATTCTACATTTAAGCGAAAGTAAACTACCCTAACAAGCCTACACACTTCACCAACTTCCTAGAATGACAATAAGGTCGATAAGGAAACGATCACCAAAGATTTTAAATCTCCTCCTAGTCAACGGTAGACATTGGCACATGAGAAGTAGTTTCCTACTCATCCGCAAAGCCAGCCTAATAGCATGTCTCCCTAGTGCACAGTGACCTGTCAGCACCGGTACCATAGCGCAGAGCATGTTACGATTTAGTTGAAGCAGCTAACTGGTGTGTTTTTATCCAATTCAGATAATATCAATTATGAGATTTGACAGGAGCATTTATCTACCCAAGTGTGTTTATTTAAGCTCAGATATTTTTTTTTAATTGCTAGCTTGGCCGTTTCAAGTGGTTTACCAATATCCGAGAGAACGTCTTGTCTTAAGTTACCCCATATGTTATTGCTTTCTATTTGTCCTTGTCTTGTCTTAAGTTACCCCAGATGTTGTTGCTTTCTATTTGTCCTGGACACTGACATACCTAGCTAGCTCGCTAATTGGTTTAACCTAGCATTATCGAACTTTTAAAGATATTGTTGTAGCGCTTACCAGAGATTTGATCAACTAACCTTAATTACGAAGGAAACTTGTTACAGCCAATATGTTTTGTATATATAGCAAACTATGTTCTAGAAATTTCTTATTTGAGAAATTCATTTACAAGCGAATTGTATGAATTCTTAAAGGCAATGAAGGGTTAAATCGGCTTTTTGATACAAAATTTGTGCTGATGCCTAGAGGCATGAATGTATAATTTTAAGGAAGCCCACTGCATTCAAATAAAGATTTCTTTAAAAAACAACTATTGTTTTATTAAAAAAATATATATATATAAAAACACTACGAAATCCTGTTGTTCAAATAGTGAATATTATAATCTATATAGACTTAAGGTATGTAACCTAACATATATATTTAATTGTGAATAATCATTAACCCTTTATAAACATCTTGCGCCCCAGGAATGTTTCTCTTTCACTAATTCACCATTGAGTAAAATATTTGGCGCGTTCTAACTGTCTATTCTTAATTCATCAAAAATATTGTAAACAAAACAAAAAAAAAAATACAAATTGAATAAAATACAAAACGAAAAAAAACATCAAAAACAAAAAAGGAAAAAAAGTCATCAAGGGATAAAACAAAGGATAATTGAAATCCAACAACAACAATACGAAACCACAAATGTTCAAATTCGAGTGCGTTCAATTGGAAAGAAACTATGGCACAAAAGGACAACCAATTGAAGTGTTTTATACGTGTGTTGGGATGTCTGTGAGGGCAGCTGAATGAGAATTCAATAATTGCATTAATTACAGCGTCCCAGAAGAAATTGCTGCAATAGCAGATGACGTTAAATACATCCAGCACGAGGCAGCTGTTAGCAGCTGGTGTGATAAAAATAAGTTGTTTTTCGTTTTTTTTATTTTTTGAAAATTGCGTTGTTGAAGGATATACATTATCACCTTGAATTTGATATAAGCAATTAAAGGATTTTTTTTATCACCTTCAAATATATATACAATATATATTTCGAATATATATACATTAATTTACCTTTCTAACGCGTTTTTGTATTATTCGCTCGGCGGCGTAGACCCTGTCATCCGAGCTTCCCATTACGTTATCCAGTTTAAGATAATTTGCCAGAAATTTTACTTAGAAAAATATTTGACAACAATTTACTTTGTAATGACACTTATTATTATTAGTTTGAGCAATTTCATTGATTTTTTAGTTCACAAATAAAGATTTATTATTAAAAATTTATTTTATGTTGTTTACAACTTTAAAATATTGTTTATTTACAATTAAATTTTGTGATTACTTGATTCACAAAAAAACAAAATGCATTTCTTTGAAAACGCACAAGAAACTGATGTGGAAAAACCCAAAGAAGAAAACAAAAACGAAGAATGTGAGAAAAATATACAAAACGTCCTTCAATTTTATGCTTGACTCCTTTTTACATATGCCTTTTCAAATACATTCCGACTCGCTCACACTTGTACACGCACTTTTATGCTTTTCACCGAAAGAAAATCAGTAAAAATTTTGCGTATAATTTTTAAGAAACAAATGCTTAACTCAAATATACAATTTTTTGTATAACATTTATATCACATTCAATATTAAACAAATATAATTGTGTTTTTTTACAAAATTATTTGTTTACAATTTTATTTTATTACTGAATTTTATTAAATTTATTCATAACACAATTCCGCTGCTACTCTCGCGTCCGGTGTTTTTTGGAATGAATTCGCTTTGCCTTTTCGTTTATTCATAGGGTTGCATTTCTTATGCCTTCAATTCGCTTCGTATAAGTATTAAAATAATAATTTGTGTGTACGTAATTATATAAACAACATACACAAACTATTTATTAATGATTGCTTTTATATTTGAATATAATTTTATATATCTAGATTTATGTAGAACACATTTGCATTCAAGAATATTCTTGAATAATTATCACACCAAACATTTCGCCGCATCTAATTAAATGAATTGGAAAAAAGTGCTGCCAAGTCTTGACACATAAGAAAAGCTTTAAATTTTGTTGCTTAATTTAGCTTAGAATATGACATATAAATTAATTTTTAGTACATTATAAAAAGAAATTTATTATTTATTGCCCATTGTTTATATTTGATATATAATGATTTTTATAAAATTTATTGTACAATTGGGAATGTGTTAATACGCACGTACGCACATATGTGTATGAAACTAGTGCAATACACTGAAAAAAATTATTGTGTGATTAAAAAATAATAATATCAAAATGACACATATATGTGCAAACATATTTAAGCTTGCTAAATAATTATATTATTTAAATAAATTTAAGATAAATAAATTTTTTAATTTAAAATGTATAGATTATAACTTTTTTATAGATTAAACATATACAAAAAATTTTTAAGAATAAATGAAGAAAGTACGATTAAAAAGTATATTGTGCAAACATATATAAGCGTGTTAATTATTTAAATAAATAGTTGCTAACAGGCTTACGCATAAACGTTTTTAAATATTATTAATTATGTTGTAAAAAGAAATTTTGTGATTTTAGGCAATTTTGTGATTTAATTGTAAAAACATAATATTTGACAAATTGATGCTAATATATCAATAAGAGACTTTAGCAAGAAACTTATTGTTTTATTGTATTTCAAAGCCGCTGAAAACACTTATTATTTGTGATCAGTCACTTCTATGTATATACTTTGATTTAATGATTTTCACTATTTGAAATCTCGATGAGATAAGTTTAGCTTATATATGTTTCTCTTAAATTTTATTTCTTACGCTTTAAGTTTTAGTCTTATCAATCTTAAGCTTCTGTGTCTCGTTAAATATGTGCCATATATTATTTAAAAAATTTTTGATATAATAATATGTTCACACTTCAAAATTAACGAGGGTCAATTAGTAACATTATGCTAATTAAGTGTTTATACTAACACAACTTAATTTGTGAAAAGCAAAATAAAACAAAAAACTACCAGCAAATAGTTAACGGTTAAAACATACATCTTATTTAATTATATTATAAAAAATAAAATAATATATTGTTTTTGGTGCTTGTATTGCTTAGGTGCTAGAAGTTGACGAACATTTTTATAAATTTTAAAGTTCTGAGGAGCATTCCTTCTAAGTCATATTCCATTTGCTTGATTCTTCAGCTACCGGTTCGTACCGGTTCAGTTTGTAGTTTTTACATTTATTATACAAAATACGATTAATGTCAATGTATTAATGTATTTGTCATGTCAAAATTTCTAACTATAATGTCCGATATCTCAAAAATTAAATTATATTGACATATAGTTCGACAGAAGCATTTGCTTAAAAAGCTGCCTACTGAAATCCGTTTTCATACGGATTTTAAGTAAAAAATCCGGTTTATACCGAATTACAATTATAGTAATGAATAACATGGAGCTTACGCCCCAAAAGGTGAACTTGGATTGACATTGTTTACTTTGAAACAACGGTGATCGAGAAGTCCCGCCATCGATAATCTAATATAGTACTATTTGAGTAAAAGATAAAGAGGTGAAATATATATTTCCTACAACAATCATAAATACAGGAGATCATGAAGTAAAAAAGATGAATCAGTTGAAAGCACTTTAAAGGTTTATTTTGTGTTGTTGTTTGGTAGATTTAAAAATCTACTGTTATTGCGTGGATTTGGCGGTTATTGTTTTTACCGCCATTTCTCTTAAACTTTACTGTTAAAAACCGAACAAATTAATTTATTTGTTTAAACAAAAAATGCCTTAATTGTTCAAAAGAAGATGCTATACATCTTCTCAAAGATGCTATACCACCTCATCAAAGATAATGCAAGACCTTATACAAGTCTGTTAACCCACCAAAACTTTTACTTTTTGTATGTGATATATTACCGTCTCACTTTATTCTCAAGTTCTGGCGTCTTCAGATTATTACTTGTACAAGTTATTATTAGAGGTTAATATAACCTCCAAAATAAAAGAAAAACAACCTGAAGATAGAAGTGTATGAGTGGGGATAGGAGTTTTAGTAGTATGAATTAAGTCTTCTTATATATAATTATTTATTTTTTTTATCAATAATATTTGATAATATTTAATAATAATATTTTTAATAATATTTATAATAATTTAATATCAATAAAAGCATTGTTCTTTTTAATTAAAAAAAAACAAGCTTAGTAGATTGATAGATAAAATACTTATATGACTATATTTACAGTTATATTTTAAAATAATTTTGAACCAATATATTTCATATCGAAATAAATAATATTTTTATATCCTTAAAATAGATTCCTTTGTACATTCACACTCAGATATCACACATGAATAGCTCTTAATTATGTGCTAAAGGGTATGACACTTCACACACAGAAAAGCACTTGTAACTGTTAATGAAGCACACGTGATTAGGTGAGGCGACAAATTACATACTTCCGCCCACAGGAAAATCCCTGACACATCGGGTGAAGTACAAAACAAAAGTGTAAAATTCTACAAAAGAAAAACAAAAAAAACAAAACAAAAATTAATTGGAACTTTTACAGCTAACGCAATCATAATAACTAACACAATTCTAAAATGCCGTTATATATATTTATATATATGTATATATATATATAAATATACACAAGTGAATACATTCACACTGAACTGAACCGAACACTCAATCGCAATTACGGGAAAATGATTAGATTACGAATATAAAAAAAATACATTTCAGCATTTAGTTAAAGACCGAAAGGAACGGGTGCGAAGTAAAACAGTAGAGCAATTATGGGGGAGTGGGGCAAGTTGAAGTACTCTTGAACTCTTTCCACAATAGTAAAGAATAGCAAACACGTCACAGAAACTGGGATTTTTATTGTACAGTTGTAAAAAAAATCACACCACAGGAAATTTAATTTATGCTTGTAAATAATATTTCTTAGCAGAGGTGTTGGGAAAAAGGGTATGCCTATAGTTAGTTAAGACTATAGTTTACATATAGTTACTTAATATTATGTTTCCACTGCAACTAAAACAACTTATGTTAATAAAATTAAGATTTGGTCGTTTACATTGGCATAAGTTGATTTATTAAGTTGATTTATACATTTTACATATAAAACATATAACAAATATTTCAAAGTTTGACAATTTTTTTTATGGGAATATATAAGTATTTTCGCCTGGTTAAGATATCTTTATCTAAAATCCATTTTTTCTCTCTGAAAGCAATATTTTCCTTTAAATCAACTTTTTATAAAAAAAAACCTTTTAAGATATATTTTTAGAAAGTCCACTTATTCGGATAATACGGTTGCACAATGTTCTAATTGGCTGTTACAACCTAACCTATATAACTAAAGCTATTTAGATAAACTGTTTTTGATAGGGTGATTATTTGTCTTGTATTTTGTTTAATCTAATGTTGGGAACGATAGTCCGAGCAGCAGATTTAAACCGTACTGGCACAATATTTGATATATGCCGACGATATTGATATTATTTGGCTAAATATCTGTGCCGTCAGTGAGACTTTTACCAGGAAATTCTTAAAAATAAGCAATGCTAATGAATCTTGTGGTAAATGAGGACAAAACAAAATGCTTTCCTTCAAGAAACAAATGTCATTGTTGATAAGTATAAGTTTGAAGTTTGTAAAAGTCAAAAATGACATCAGCTTTGAGACTTCACAAAGAATCACTCTTGCCAACAGAAGTTACTACTGACTACGTAGGGAATTGAGAAATAAAGCTCTGATTCGACAATTAAAAATCACGCTCTAAAAGTTTCTTATCATGAATGTCTTGCTGTAGGGTGCAGGAGCTTGAATAAAAACCATGAGAAGAAACTAAGAGCATCCAAGAAAAAAATCTTTCGTAAGATTTATTATGGTTCCTTATGCGTTGACAACGTATAACGAATTAGATGAAAGGATGAACTTTACGAGCTATAATATGACACTGATAGTTAAATGTATAAAGATTCAGCGGCTTCGCTGTCTTGGCATGTCGTACAAATGGAAGGAAGTACTCCGGTTGGAAATGTGATGGATTCAGCACCTAGAACAAAGGTGTTTGGTTCAGTGAGAACGACGTCCATACCTTCAGTAGAAGGTAGTCAGGTGACGAATGATTTGAAGGCATTTAGTAGTACTAACTAAGGACAGTAAGTTACGAATTGGGTTGGCTGACAGAAGCTACAAAACCCTGCCAAAGATGACTCATGTCTGTACAGACCAACTAAGTAAGTAAATAAGTTGAGTTCAACAGATTGAGGCTGTTGAAAAATGTAATAGAAGGTGAACACATCTTCAGTGGAAGGTGGTCAGGTGACAAATAATTTAAAGGCATTCGGTACAATCAACAACCGACAGCGAGCTACCGATCGGGTTGGCTGGTGGAGGGTACTAGATTGAGGCTGTTGAAAAACGTAATAGAAGGCGAACACATCTTCAGTGGAAGGTGGTCAGGTGACAAATAATTTAAAGGCACTCGGTATTGTTAACTGGCGACAGCGCGGTACCAATCGGGTTGGCTGGTGGAGGGTACTAGATTGAGGCTGTTGAAAAACGTAATAGAAGGCGAACACATCTTCAGCTGTTGGAGGGTACTGGATGTAGTAAAGAATGACACACGTCTATAATGATCAACTAAGTACTTTAATATTTGAAATGTTAGTTTAGCAGCACCCTGTATATATGCAACATAAAATAATTACTAAATGAGATTATAGATTTTTAGTTTTAACCCTTTTTGTAGGACTCTGTCTGCACTCAAATTCCCACTCGTCCTGAAGTCAGTAAAATGCCAAGTGAAAATAAAATTTACCATTGAATGTCAAATCCATATAAAGACATACAGACGTTGTTATTTTAAATTAAATAAAAAAAAATAATGTAAATAATATTTTACACATATTTATGTATTCACAAAAACAAGTATCCTGACTGCTCTTAATAGTTTATTGACAATGCAAAAAGTGAAAAAAAAAAATTAAAAATGTTAGCATTCACATACCATATTAACGGGAATAGAAAAACTTATGAACCCATCGATAAGCCCTAAAGGCTCGAAACCCACTAAATATGTGTCAATAATATAAAAGATGAATTATTTATGATATGCGTAAAGTAAAATATCACAGCATATGACATCAAGCAGAAGGCAAACCGAAAACGGCAAACCGTTTCAATAATTCAGTAGGAGTACATGAGACCCATGGGAAGGCAAAGGCAAAGGCAGAATAAAAAATTTACTGATGCAAATAAACAACATCACGTTTACCCCAAAAATGTCGAGTATTGGCCAACGTTACGCCAACGTTACGTACGACAAGCATAACTAAACGTTGTTGTTGCGTATCGAACACCACACGTACTATCCGCGCTGTGTTGGGCTTACGTTGCACTTGGTATACATTCAGTAATAACCTAATTTCTGAGGAAAATTTAATTTCATTCCACTCACATAGTGGCTGCTGCCACAGAAGGAAACCAATGCATAAAAGAGTTTGAAGCATTTAAAGCTTTCCACTGATTCAAACCCCTCACGAACACACACAAACACACATGTAAATATGAAAGCTCCCTATTCTCTTAACAGCTAGGAGAGAAGTGGTAGCTTATTTCGTCATCAATGTTAATTTAACAGTCCTTACGGCCTCATTTTTGCCGGGAGCGTGTATTTTAATTGCAATTGTTATTGTAGTAGTGCCCGGCAGTTGTGTTGTATATTTTTGTTGTTTTAATTTTAGAGTAAACATTTTGGCAGCTTTACTTGATTTTTGTAATGTCAGTTAATTTATGAAGCAACGGCCGCCATATATATTTAGCGGGATTTTCAATATAAATTTAAGTTAATTGAATATTTTTGATCCTTAGAATAATTTTAATTTTCATGTAATAAAGATCTCAGCTTAATAAAAATGTAGAAATAAAATAAAATAATTTTGATAAAATGTATTCAATTCTTAAAATTATATATAATACAATATAACGTTGAGGTTAGTTGAGTCAATGCACTTGAGCACTCTTTATGAAGTGCGAGGTTTCTTCATAATCCCTCTCTCCGCCTTGACTGGATTATTGTTTATCACTTCATCAGACTAAGCAATAATTGACCGCAGATCTGTATATCTCCCCGAGGAGCCTGCAACCATTCCGAGATTCGATAACGCGATGTTGGTAAGCCTGTCACTTTTCATAAATAATTTCAGGACTCTATCCTTTACGTATTTTTTGTTCGGAGCAATCTTGAGGTTCCTGACTATATCATTCATCTTAATATACCATGGTACCTTGAAAAGTTTTCGCAGAGCTTGGCTTTGTGCAATTTCTAGCACAGCGAAGTTTGATTATTTTTACCACTTAAAAATATTTTTTGTGAAAGTTAGATCCCCGAAAGCAATAGGCATGATTCTGAATATTTCTCCGGCAAAAATTTTAATATGCAAACAAAATGTTATACAAATTCATTGCAAAACAAATTCAGAAATTGTAAAATTTACGCGGATAGAATGTCTAAATGTCTAAATTGATGATAAAAGATAACCGAATATAGGAAGATTGCGATAGTTATGAAGCATTATAGAAGAAAATTTCGACAATGAAGTATAAAGTCATGGCTGAAATTGTTTTAGAACACATTTGGTGCTATTATCATTGACTATTTCGAAAATATATAAAACAATTTTCCAAATTTCGAAAATGACAGGTTTTTTCGAGAAATTTTATTCCAATTCTGACTTAATCAGTTTCTATTTCTTGGAATGCATATGGTGTTATTATCATTGACTTTGTCGAAAAGATGTAAGATTTTCCTGTTAGTACTGTTAAAATAAATATAAAAGATCCCTTTTATTTTTTAATGACCTATAAAACTAAGTCTTTGTATATATGTGTTTTCTATCAAGAATATAAACTATAAACTGATTCTATTAACATAGAATCTGCAAATTTTCAAATCCCACTTTATAGTTATTTTTTAGATTATTTTTTTTTTATTTTTTGTTAATTTTAAGATAATACTCTGAAATATATTTACCACTTGTCAGGATTTAATATATTTCACGCAGCTTTTTAAGACATCCACTTCATAGTTATTTTTTAAATTAATATTTTTTAATATTTTATTAATTTTAAGGTAATACTCTTTATAGTAATTTTGAATATTATAATTTTTTTTATTTTTTTTTATTGATTTTAAGATAATTTTCTTTAAAAAATGGCTACCACCTACCAGGACTTAACCAAATTTTATTTTATTATTTAATATAAGTTGTAAATAACGGAAGTCACTATTTTATTCAATAGAAACTAACATATTTGGTAGAGAGGTTTCGAGTAGTAGCGAACTACAACAACAAAAATTCTATTTATATTATTTTAATTAATTGAATTTTTGGCTGACCCTACAGCTATTTCGAGTATTGTCAAATACCCATCAACAGTGGTCTTGGAATTATTTCTTGTATTTAATTATTTTATTAATTTTAAAATTATCTTTTTTTTATTATT